TAATATTTGATAAGTTTTTTCTATTATCATTAGGAACAAAAATATCTTCACATCCTGTACCAAAGATCTTGCCAAGGTCTTTTCGAAAAAATCTAAGATGTCAAGATCTAGGTTCCAAGATGTTCGACTAGGGATAGTTTTTCTTTCTCCTTCTGGTGTGAACATGGCTTTTGACTGATATACTTCGTGTACGTATTTATACAACAATTATCCGTATGTGCGAACAGAAACGGTTTTGTTCTTTGATACATTTCTTTCCTATAGAAGTCATTTTTTTTAAAATTTCCCATTAGAAAAGTCTTGCAAATCTTACAATAAATGAATTTTTCGTTGTAATGAAGATAAAGATTATACTCAATCTACTGTTCATACGTCATTTTTCCACGAAATTAAACAATTCTATTGAAAATTTACCGTCGGCACTTCACCTTTGTTCTTGATAAATTTCTTCATAAACTATCAGGTGTTTTTATATTTCTCAGTACAAGAAAGCACGATGAATTTAATGGCAAAAAAAGCTAATAAATAATGAACAAGTCATCCCGGTATATTGAATGAAAATATACCCGTTGGAATTAGCGGTGTTCACTAATAGAGGTTTTACAGTAGTCAGAAGTTAGTTAACTATAAAGCGTATAATAGCAGTTCTTCGATACAACACTAAGCTATCACAGTTCCTTAATGATCGATTTCATCCTCTTTTTTCTAGAAAGTAATTTCTTCAAAAAGACAAAACATTCTAAAGTTATAAATTTTATTCCACTGCAAATTTTCAGATCGAAGAAAAGTTTCATGTGCTCTATCGTATGAACTTTGAATGAAACTCTAATATGTTATCGTTAAGTTAAAAAATAGATTTTAATTTTTGTCAACATTTCCTTAAAACATGTATATCTCCCCGAGCATACGCTTCGGCCTCCTGAAGGATTGAGATTCGGATAGAGCTCAAAATTTTGAGTATATACAAACATTTTGAGCATATGTTTTGGCGGCTGTGTTGTGCCGATCTGTGGATATTTGAAAGATTGAATAAATCTTGCATAAAACAAGCACGTGATATCACGTATACACTCTCACTGTATAGCAAAAGAAAAGAAAAACTCGTCTTTCTTACATATAGTCCAGAAAGTAAACATACGAATTTTCACTCTGCTCATCGTTGTTTTTGACAAAGAAACAAATTTACCCGACAGTAGACCAGCCAATCATTAAATCTGTACAACCTAGAAGTACTGCTACCACTAGTCGGAATATAACGTACAGATATGATAACACTAGCTATAGTTCACGCGAACAAAAGAGGAAAATTTATAAAGAATGATTAACCAACATGTGTACAACTCTCTGTCTGACATCAAACTGCCTGACTTACTCCGTCGGCCGTCAATGTAGAGAGAGAAAAAACATTTGTTTTATTTCGTTTGGTCTATCGTCCATTTTCGTATGAATAAGTCAATCTGGGTTATAGTCCTAGATATAGAGAGACCATACAGACTTCTATTATACATATTCTATTTATATTTTAGATGATGAAAAACATATTCGAAATAAAACAGTAAAAGAAAGAAATTCAAATCCATTTTATGTTCCTATTGATAATAGAAAAAACTTATCAAATATTAGTTCAACAATGATTAGACAAAATTTATTACAAAATCGTCCATGTGAACATGTAATACACAAATCTGTTTCATAATATCAAATATCACGGAAAGGAAAAGACGTAAGTAAACAGTTTTGAACGTTTTCGCAAGAACTCTCGATACTTACTACTCGGCTTGTCCACGTAACGGTATCCTTTTTTCGCTTTTTTTCAAAAGATTATTGCAGTAAAGCTACGAACTAATCTAAAATTGTAACTACATAATTAAGTAGATTAAACATTTCTCTACAAATTAAAAAGTGTCTTGGCTTTGAATATTGATTCGTTATGAAAATACAGCTGTCGTACAAACGGTCCCAAAAATCGATTTTGAAGCTATCTGAAAAACGTGTCTAAAAGGGTGAAGACGAGCTGGCGAAATTTGAACAAGTGTACGAGTTTGTAGAAAATTGTTTGCTCTACAAGACGTGATAGCTGGTTAAGTTCGAAACTATTCTAGTTAATCTGTATTAATAAAAGAAAAATCAGAAAAACCGTCACGGTGTAACCAAAAACGGTCAAAACTGTCACACCGTGACGGTTTTTCTGACTTTCTTTGATAATTTTAGTTTGTAGCTTTACTGCAATAATCTTTTGAAAAAGATCGAAAAAAGGATACCGTTACGTGGACAAGCCGTACTATCTGTTTCAAAATAAAGTGGACGCGGATGTTTTTTGAATAATTTTTGATAGAAGCGAGTTAGAGAGCTTCGGCTTTCGGCATGCGAAAGAGAAGACTTGAAGGTATGTTTTCATAAGCAAAAACTTTTTCAGAGTTGTTTTCTGAAATAGGTTTTCTAGGAGATCTTTGAAAAAGCAGGCTGCATGTAAAAACTTTTCAATAGGATTGTATTGATTTTCCTCCATGGTCTGATAGCCCAGGGTGTCCTCTTCATAATGAGAGTCGAGCGAAACCTTGTTTTTCTGCAACTCCTGTGTTGTGTTGGATTTCCTACGAGTCGCAGGACTGGCACCCGGTGAGCCTTAAGAACGGATGGAATCGATCATGCTGAGTCTCGTGACAATAGTTATTTCTAGAAAAAGTTCTAAAAATCTACCGAAAAGCGAGTTTTACGAAAATTCGGGTTTCCAGGCTGTTTTCACCTAATATTAAAAAATTAACTAATCACTCAATAAGCATCAGAACGAGTTCAAAACTTCAGAATGTAGAGTATTTAAGCTATTCTGTATCCTGTTTATCGGAGATCTCAAAAGAAATTTGATAAAAGTGGAAGTCCTGGGACTCGTAGGAAATTCGACACAATAGCGGAGCCGGGGAAAATCAAGGTTTCACTCAACTCTGATTTCGAGATCTTTCTTTTTCTGTAAAGATGGGATTCAATTCGGACTCTACGTGATAGAAAACAGAGCAGCTCGAATACTAATATGCATCAAAATTCTTTTGATAAGTGTCTTAATAAACCGCTAGAAGCAATCATAAAAGAACTTAGTAACATGTTCAGTTACTAAGATGACTCATCATTCAATAACCAGTGGTCAAAGAAAAGAATTCGTTGATTGATCGCAACAGAAAAACATTTTAATGAGTTGTTTCTAGCAAAATATAAATGCCTCTCAATATAATTCTGACAAAATTCTAGTGATTCTGCATACGAACTCATAGCATATTATAGGTCCCTAAACGATTTCCTGTGTTTCGTAGGATCCTATATGATGCAGGGTTACCCATTTAGTTTGTCAAATGCTTTAATTGATGTAAATGAAAGTTCTTATGTTAACTTATCAAAATCTTATGAACTCTTCGAAACTAATTTTATAAGCTATCTTACCGAATTCTTATCAGAATCTTATAAGATTCTTATATTCCTTATAAGAATTTTATCAATATCTTACGCATTTACATCGACTGCCTTATATAAGATTCTTATAAGATTTCTGTAGAATTGCCGTAAGTTCGGTCGCCTAGGATATCACTTTTCACATAAGATATCTTATGTGCGGCACATTTTTCGTCTCAGTACGTCGGTAGAAAAAAAAGAGAAGAGAAAGATATGCATGTACGAAAACAGATCCTCTTATTTGTCAGTGCCGCAGTATAATAGTATCAAAGAAAATTGAATCCGATAATGTTGAATTATCAATTGAACACAACAAAATAGTTTCATGATCCAGAAGTACTACTTAGAGAAAAAAAAGTGATCTCGTTTTTGTACCTTCCATACTAAACATAGCAGACGATTCGGTTCTTCCGCTGCATATTTCTATACATCATAAAACTGTAATAGTATAACGTTTATGGATTTTAAAGTGCATATTGCGAGCTAGTATCGGGAATAGGCTTTGAGTATCGAGACGTCATGAGTCCGGTCTATCCAGTTCTAAAGAGCAATACTTTGATCTCGTATTGTTGCGATCCAGTAAAAGAATTTATTAATATATAGTCGTTCAGTATGGGTGTTACAGAAAATATACAAGATGCTATTTCTCTTTCAACATGTTCACCTTTATCAGCAAATGGACAGGATTCCAAACGATGTGTGAGCGAATCATACAAGGTTACTATTTGTAAACGTCAGAAATATTTTCACTCAATTTCATTTAATGAAGGATTAATTACTACTACAAGTCCAAAAGTTGCTGTGATCGGTGTTGGTTCACGAGGTCTAAGTATTTTGGAACGATTAGCAGCCAACTATGATCAAAATAAGAATTATATATTAAACATTTATTTAATTGATCCCGGTCGTTATCCTGGTCAAGGCATTCATTCATCTGAACAAAGTCCACATTTGCTAATTAATACAGTTGCTTGTCAAGTGACAATGTTTCTAGATGAATCAATAACAAATTGTGGACCAATTAGAAAAGGACCATCGTTGTTTGATTGGGCGCGTGAAGAAAATTATCGAAAAATGCCAAATGGACAATATATGAAAGGATGTGATGGAGGAAGCGAAATTGAACCAAATGATTATTTGCCTCGACAATTACTCGGTGAATATTTGAGATGGGTATATGATTATTTAGTGAGTAATTTACCTAGTGGAATTATTGTTCATCATTATAATCAGACAGTCATTGATATTCACTGTTTAAATGATGGTGGTGTCAAACTCTTTCTAAATGACGGATGCTCATTCAACGTCGATTGTGCTGTATTAACGACTGGTCATGATCAAAACGCACTGGATAACGTAGAATTGCACTACGATCAATTTGTCAATGAATGCCGATCGATGAATCCTCATTTACGATATTTACGGGCTTATCCATTGTCTCAACTTCAGTCCATCGATCAACATAGTGTAGGTTATTTTTTCGTTTTATGATCTTTTCTTACCCGACGATAATTAATACGTTGCCACTATCAACGATTTTCATTCGACTGCACGCATACTGACCTTCTTTCTAATTCATTCTAACGGGTGGGCCAGATAAAACCGGCCACTTTTGTTGTTATTTATTAATCCCCTTCTATGAAGTTTCAAGTTCTCATTTCACAGTCAATCGATAGAGAATTGAATTCTCTACAAAACCTGTAATTTTAATCTCTGACAGCATTTTTCCCGTTTGAGTACCAATCAGAATATTGAAGGGTGCTGAGTTACCGAACTGCGACACACTGAAAATAGAAAAATATTTGCCTTGATCCAAAAGCAGATTCCATAAGAATTTTGAAAACATCAGAAGATTCACCGGAAAATTCTGCATCTTCTCACGTAATTTTCGACAGTTCTGCAGGTGACTAGAAAAATTTCTGTGCAAAAAACTGATAAATCTAAAAAAACCTAACTTCTGAACCTATTTCTCATAGACTTCAGTTTTTTGGCTATAAAAGCAGTAAAACGTTCTGAATCCAGAGTTCTAGTCTTACCATCTTACACAGACTTAAATTCTGCATTTTTTGATATATAAAGAAAGTTTCTCAATTCAAATCATTAATTAAAACAATTAATTTAATTTACAAAAATTGAAAAGCCGGTTGAGAACTAATTATGACTCTAGCTGACGTAGCGAAAACATTGTATAAAGTTATATCTAAGTGAGACCAATAGAACACAAAATTCTCTATCTTTCTACCTATCTTTCCTAGTAAAATTGGCTATTGACCATCAGACAATGGGATAGAAATCTCGAAGAAGGAGACATCAAAAGCACGTCGCATTTCGACAACTCGGCACCCTTCAATATTCTGATTGGTACTCAAACAGGAAAAATGCTGTCAGAGATTAAAATTACAGGTTTTGTAGAGAATTCAATTCTCTATCAATTGACTGTAAAATGAGAACTTGATACTTCATAGAAGGCATTAATAAACAAGAACAAAAGTTGCTGGTTTTAGCTGGCCCACCCGTTATTTCTGTATATTTTAGAGAGTTGCTATTCAAGGGCTAGGTTTATCGTGTCATGATGTTTTATCAGAACTGACGTGTGGTAGAGGTGGACAATTTGTTTATGGTGACAACGATGAATTAACGTACATTCGATCGGGGCATGAACCAGAGAAAATTTATGTTTATTCGCGTAATTGCTTGCCGTTTAGTGCACGAGGTAGAAATGAAAAGAGTGTCGGTGGTCAATATCAAGCTCGCTTCTTCACACGGGCAATGATCGACCAATTAAGAGAGGAAAATGGCTATTTTCAACTTGATTTTGAGAAACAGGTGTTGCCCGTATTAATTAATGAAATGTGCTATGTTTATGAGTGCACGTTACGTAACAATTGGCTGGTGTCGCATGATGAATTTGAACCAAGTGAAGAAACTAGACAGGTCATTCATCGATTACTTTATCCATTGGATAATGTTATTATTGATTACAATTCGTTTACATTTTGGATTATCGATTTCATTGAACAAGATCTCGACGAAGCGTATCTGGGAAATGTTAGTAGTCCAGTGAAAGCTGCCACAGATCTGTTGCGTGATGTACGAGATACTATTCGTTATACTGTTGATTTCAGAGGACTAACACCGAGATCACATCAATATTTTATTGAAAATATTTGTCCAGTTATGAACAGAATTGCTGTGGGACCACCAAAAGAGAGAAATATTCAACTATTGGCTCTTATTCGTGCTGGAGTAGTTGAGTTTGCATGCGTTCCAAATGCACAACCTCGAGTTCGATGTGATAGAGCACGAGCGAGTTTTGTTATTGAAAGTAAATCGATGCAAGAATGCATTGTCGACGTTTTAATTAAAGGTATGATGGAATCATTTTATCCTGAACGAAACAATTCGTGTTTAATTCGAAACATGTTGAAAAGAGGATTAATTCGACCTTTTTCGAACGGTGATTATCGTCCTGGAGGCATTGATATCAATGAAAATCAAAATCTCATTAGTGCTGAAGGTTTAACAATCCAAAACATTTGGGCACTAGGAAACATTGTTGAAGGCCCTAATTTTTATACCTATGTTTTACCTCGTCCACTAGTTAATTCTCGAGCGTTACAAGACGCAGGAAAATGCGTTTTTAAAATATTTTCATTACTTGACAAATGTCTAGCACCTAGTAATTAGAAAGTAGGTGTTTTATGTTATTTATTTTTATACATGAGATAGGTGTTTGTTCTTGCATTTATTCTTCTAATAGTTTCAAATAAATTGTTTTTTTACCCATATTAAGTTAATTATTTTTTCTTAAATTCTTATTCTGTTGTAACGTTAGTGATTTTCTTGGAATAAATGTTTTGCTTGAAATCAGTATAATTATCGAAGAAACACTTTTCTTCTTGCATGATGGCTACACAACTGTCTTCTTGACTCTGGTATAACTGAAATTTCGAATATTGACTTAGAATAATGACAAAACATGAGTAACAAGACTGGCTGGTGCATTCTCGTAACTAGAAATGTTGTACGAGCTCATAGAAGTCTTAGATAGGACTATATAGCTTTGCAAGATACACAGGAGCGCTTTTAGTCTTCTACGCGTGTCGCTTAATTTTGAGCTCATTTTAGCTTAAAAAAATGTCAAAATGAGTTTTTTATACTCAGTTTTACATGGAGAATCAGACAAAAATAGTTTTGGAATTTTAAAAACACAATGAGCATGAAAACTTTGCTTTTTCTTGAAAATTTAAAGAGCGGTTGCAGGCGGTTCTCATTTTTTTTTCTGAAGTATCCTGCCGGTTCTTTTCTTAAATATCCGCGGTTCATTGCGTTTGGATGAGCAACTACTTATTCACCCGTTTTGTTTTGCAAACAGCTAGTATATAAACACACAAGTTTCGCTTAGTTGACTTATGTAATTTTGAACGTTTACAACGCCCTGTGAAGGAAGACAAAGAAGTGAACCATGCAAAACGGTTCTAAGGAAATAAGTGACACTTCCTGTTTTTAAGGGAATGTGCAGAGCTAGGTCTCTCTCAAAGTAGAGAGGGGCGGAAAGCTCAGAATTAAAAACGCTTCAACCGCGGTTTTTGCCAGTTTGAAGTGTTCTTGTTCACCTTAGCTCTAACCAAGCTTTTGGTAAGAAATGCTTCCAGGCAAACCTCCCTTTTATTCAAATAAACCGCCGTAGATCACGATTTCCGTCAATAATATTGGGAAAAATAACCATCTTGATAAGAGGTTTTTTGCAGTCTGAAATCGGTGACAACCGCACATTTCATTCAAAAATAACCGCCTTCATCTGCGGTTATTTCGAAAAAGGGAGTGATCAAATCGCTCCCTTTCAGACAAATAACCGCCGATCTAAGCGGATTTCTGTTGTTTCTGACCTCGATGAACCGCAGTTTTCAACAAAAATAACCGCCTTTAGCTGCGGCTCGATCGAAAAGGGAGCGATTTTATTCAATTGAACGCACGCCGATCTCGGCGGTTTTTAACAAAAAATAACTGGCGAGAACCGTTGTTATACCCACCACAATTGAGAAAAAAGGCCAAAAAGACACCCACGGTTTTTATACGAGAGAGCGGTTATTGTGTCGCAAATCGCCGGTTTTGACCGGTTTTTCTGCTTGAAATTGAACCGATGTGACCTATATTTTGGACCGGTTTTTTATATGAATTTTCGTGTACGGGCGGTGTAGCAAACTAACGGTCCCCTTCAAATCAGAAGATTTCAAAATTTTCTTTTAGAAAACCTAGTGATCGTAAAGTTTCTTTCAGACATTTTTCAACCATCTCATTAGATAGCCCCTTCAATCCTCCATAAAATGTGCTACTGGCCAACTTTCTACGATGTTGTCTCAAAAAGTGGCATAGAAAATGCGATACAGATCGAAAGCGGAATTAACGCGAACGAACTTAAATTTATGATGTTAAACAGCCTGTAACTCGGTCGTCCACGATCGTAGAAAGTTGGCCAGCATCTCATTCTACAGAGGATTGAAGGGGCTATCTAATGATATAGTTGAAAAACGTCTGAAATAAACTTTACGATCACTAGGTCTTCAGAAATCTCTATCTCAAGACTCCGAGGTGTTCCATAACTTTTCTGAGTCGAAATATCTAGAACTCGATCCGCCGGAAAATGACGAAAATGCATTTTTCTGCTGCGAGGGTAAAATGGCTATGGCTTTTTTTTTAACAAGGCTAGAGAAATGCGGTTTTCACCATTCGATTCAGCTTGCTGAGCTCTATAATTTGAGGTAGTTCTCCTTATTAATATCAATGGAAATTGTGGTTGGTTTTACGTGCATTTAGCTTAACCGTCGATGTCGAAAACCAGCTCAGTAGTATTTCTAGTGCTAGGACACACAGGCGCAATTTATTCTGAATATTTTATATATCATTTTGTAGCCCGTGAAATTCTCTATCGGATGATATATAAAGCGGAGTGGTTAATGATACATTGACTGGAGAATATAAGCGATGAACGTTGTTGACCTATGGAATTGTGGAGGTCGGGGCTAGTATTTCTAGTGTTAGAACACGCACATCCAATGTGTTCTCAACATTTTATATATCATTTTGTAGGCTGTGAAATTCTCTATGGAGTGGTATACAGTAGTTGAGGTTTGCTTTGAGGGAAAGAGAAGGAATGAGGAAAATAGTCTAAATAAAGTTCATCTAAGGGGTGAGAAGTTTGGATGCGAAAGTTTTTCCAGGGGGAGGGATGGAAATGGGTCTTTTAAGGTGCTAGTTTTAATCACGGAGAAAAACTACATCAGACCTGTGAATATGAGGTTGATCTGAGAGGGGGCCGATTTTGCCTCTTATCGACCTCGTCCTTTTCGCGTACTTCAGGCCTATTTTTAGGGGAGAAATGAATTTTTTTGATTTTTCGTAAAAGTAACGAAAAATTTCATATTTTGAAAAAATGATTTTCAGCGGATTTTATGAACGTTTTGCTTTTAGGAAAAGATGCGATCGATTTTTGGCCATTGTAGGACAAAAAACCCAAGCCTCTAGTTGTTTTCTACAAAAAGTTGTTGAAAAAAATATGCAGGACCACTCATTTTTGGAATAGATAACAGTTTGTTTACTGCAATTGTACATCAATAGCAGAGAATGACGTGAGGCTCTAACAAGTAGTTCTTTGAGTAGTGTGCTGTCTAGCTTTATGAATAGTGTCTTAGTGAAAATTAAATCGTAGACAAGGATGACTCGTCTCATTAATTAATACAAAAATCTGTAGAAGTATTTATTCGTGCACATATGTAATTTTGATTCACGAAGTAATATCACAGCTCATCAGCTAAGAACCAGAACAAATAGTTTCGGAGCTTTAATCTTAGTATTATATACTACTATAGTATGTTCTGGTGCTCCCTTAGCTTTTGCAGATATTTCGCTAAGGCTGGATATAGTCGAGTTGTTGCGAAAATTTATTGTTTGCTATTAGTTGTCATGGTACCCATTTGTTATCGAATATAGGTAGTTATATATCGGCGAAAACATCAGGAATAGAAATCGAATGGATAAAAATCAAGCAAATTACACCGCACTGAAAAAGCAGCTTCAAGTTCAGAAAACTTTTTCTGCTGCACATATAAGACTATTGAACGGCAGAATCTACCCATTGCGGCACTTTTTAAAGAAATGTCCCATTTTTTTTAATTATTGTTTTTTTTCATGCAAAAATCAATTTAAATCGACTTTTTTCTGAAAAAAACATTTGAATTCACTTTTTTACGATTCTTTTACAAAAATCTGTTTAAATTAATTTTTAAAAGAATTCATTTAAATTTATTCTGCGTAACTTTTCGTGCGAAAAATCTATTTAAATTCATTTCTTTCTCAATGAATATGGTTTTACTTTTTCGAAAATTTATTTAAATGCATTTTACTTTATTTGGAGAAAACAGAAAGGACCAGTGCGCATAAGGCTTGAAATCGGCCTAGTACATTTTATTGCTTCAATGTATCGCGAACTCATCAAAGTCATCTTATTCGATGATTTCGACCCTTTGGAACGATTCCGATTGGACGTATTCGACCGAAGCTACTCGACGACAAACTCCATAATCATACCATCAGTATTACGGTAAAATCAAAATTTCTGCACAACTATCCAGTATTTAGCCTAATGTAATACATCATCCGATGCGCCTTGAAAAGCTCTACAAGATGTGTTAATAGGAAACGAAACGAATCCTTTAGCTGGTGCTCCCGCTTGTACGAGTGCTCCCTTTGTGGCAGTGAGTGGGGAAGCAACTGCTAAAAGAATACCAACGCGCTGTTGTTGTTTCGTTTTGTACTTGAATCAGCAGCTGACGATGGCGACGTCCATTCAAAAATCGTTTTGAATCTAGAAAGCGAAAAAAACAACAAACTTGAGTTGCATTTCTTCAAGACAGTTGTTTTTCGAAAGTAGATTTTTTTCCTCTCCTCTCCTTCTATTCAAAAAGATTCTGCTATGCACGCAGACGGGCCTTATGCTACCTCCCTCAAGTCTTCCATTAAAGGGTGGGGAACAAAAATGAATTTTTGATTAAGACTTCTTGGTTCAGAAAACAAAATAGGTTCTACTGTTTTCTTTCTTTCTGAATCAATAGTCCAAAGAGCAGAATTTTTTGTTTATTTCCGCTTCTTTTTTTTTCTGCTTCTTCTAACTAACTCCTGCGTGTTGTTCTCTCTTTGTATCATTTTAGGTTGAATTTTGAAATTCAATTTATCTTTACAAGAAACATAATATGGTTCAAGGAGAAAATTAGATTAAGAAATTATTATGAAATTTTATAAACAACTTTCAATAAATCTAGATTCAGGTATGTGCACACTATTCTATTTTTAATCGTAATGGAGAGTAGAAGAGAGGAGTAGAAAAGTGGCGATTATAAAATGAAGAAGTAATTTTCTTAAATCGCAGTATTTTTTAAATGAAAAACTTCTTTTTTGTGATGAAACTAGAAGAGCGACGGAGGTAAGGCGCGCGTAATTCAAAGGTCGAGCGGTATTTTGCTTTGTCGATATTCTTACGTATTCGGATAGAGGAGAATGCGCTGATTCCGAATATTACCTTTTTCTTGCTTCACGACCTTTCCTTCGCGGTGAAAAACACATAATATTAAAAGGATGCTGGAAACGCGAAAATCAGTCCTTCGAGAAAACTAAATCGGGTTTCCTTTCCA